GTAGTAGTAGTACTAGTAGCAGTGGTAGCGGGTGCAGTAGGAGTAGTAGTAGTCACAGGAGGAGGACGAGGAGGACGAGAAGTGGTGGTCGTGGGCGTAGTAGTGGTACCGGTAGTCATGTTAAGTCTAAGCTACAATGATGGGCCGCCTTTCTGCACAGATCAGCCGGGCAGCTTACGAAGATGCTCCAGGTCGGTGTCAGACAGCCTAGGTGTCAGACATGTTCCGACAGGGCACGACCAGCGCCCCTCATCCAGCAGCATTTGCCCAATGGGATGGTCGAGCATCTATGTTGAATGCCATGTATGTTGTTCCCATACGGGGGTCGCTTAGCTGCAAAGGCGTGCTTCGCATCTGTTCATCGACCACCAATTACAGCAAACACCAAGGACCCTGGTACGCATGTTAAGAAAACAGTTGACAGATTGCAGCCCTCAGGCGCCTGGAGTTCATTTGCTTCAGAAACTCGCAGAAACTGTCCACGGGCAAAGTGGCCAGCTCATTGAACGCCTTGCGGACTGGTGCATCTCTACTTCGGGCGCTTCGGCAAATCCAAGCCAGCGCCCAGCAAGGCCTTTAAGATGTCTTTCTCGTGCTTGGCCTCCTCGTCTTTTTCTCCTGCCTCTTCGTCTGTCCTGCAGCGACCGACAAGCAAGCAACACACCGCCGCGATTGCCCTCTGTAATAAACGCGTCGTGCTGCATCGCACAGGTTAAGGCCATAACGTATTCAATGAAAGCCCACCCGACGTGCAGATGCATATGAACATGCGCATGCTTACGCCCATGCATCGAGGACTGTCAGATACCTTTTGACTCCGATTAGTTTCAGAAATATGCATGTAGATAGGAATATAAGTGCGGGAAGGAGGAATGTAGGCATGCAGGAAACATGTTCCACGTTGATAAACATGTACACCCTGTACAGACTATGTTCCTGGTCGGCAGGTGGAAACCAGACGTGCGATGTAGAACGTGCCCAACGATCCAGATAACGCGAGGCAAGGTATACTAAACACTCCAAGGAGTACCAATTGGAGTCGGGTATCCACATGCGAAACCTCGCTTCCATGGGAAAAGTCACTTTTTGGTTGCTGAAAGCTTCAGGCATAACCTGATCTTGCCTGCGAGGGCCATGCGTCTTGTGGCCGTGACACGACAACACTTTGCAAGGCATGCGCATGTAATGCTTAAAGGGAAGTGACCACCTGATATTGCGTACCTGTGGCATTCCCCCTGTCCTGAAGATTGCAGAAGGGTTGTCCCAACTAGCAACAACAAAAATCTGCTCACTTGTAGCGTTTGCTTTACCATTGCGGCATATGAGATGAGATTGACGTCCGGAAATTAAGTAACTACCTAAACTTAAATAAACAGGTCTTTTGTACTACCTCTGTCGGCACTCGCCTCCGGCGGCCCAGCTTGCGTGAATACCGACGGGTAAAGCTTTTGAATGTGTTGCATCCAAGATTCAAAGAATGCTGCTTAGAGTTGTTGTGTCCGGCCACCGTCCACTTATTCAAAAACCTTGAGTTCATCATTCATCTAGACCCAACAACAGGCAGACGCAAGGCCGTCGGGCCCCTTACATCATTTTGCTTCAAAAAACCATGTACAACTCAAAACCCCGAACCACAACATCACATCGTGGTTCAACTCTGGAACCCGCCCAGGCACTGTGCAGCCCACAAGCAGAATGAGGAGTGTAGCTTCCTCGGAGCCAATACGGTAAAACATTGTAGTGACAGTCGCCAGAGAGAGAGAGAGAGAGAGAGAGAGAGATAGATAGATAGATAGATAGATAGATAGATATATATGTGTGTGTATACAATAGAGAATATACAATATCTACAACCCATAAAAGACTGGCTACCCAGTAGCAGCTACAACATGAGCTGTACAGTAGCAGCTGCAACATGAGGGCATTGTCGATGACAATAGGCATACTACTCCTGCTACTGCTGCTACTACTACCGCTACCCAGTACTACTACTGCTACGGCTACTACTGGTAATACTGCTACTACTACCACAATCGAATCACTTCTGTCACCTCAGCCTGCTGCAAACAACATTGTACCACTATTATTTGCATAAGCGCAACCGCTCAGCAAGGCTATTCGAGAATACTCGGACGAAGGAGTGCCGATGCAACAGAAATCTTAAGGCAGGGAGCAGTCAGTCCAGTGAAAAGCAGAAGCAAGAAACTTCATGGCCCTAATCCAATGCACCATCGGACCGCCCATTAATGTTGCAACGAAGGCTCTTGATCTGTGGCTCGGTGAAGCCCAACCGTGCAGCCTAGCACATTGAACACCATCCGACACGAAGGTGCCCTCTGCAACTTTGAGCAACAAAGCTGTTGGCAGATTCCGCGTCCAGCCCCGAGGCGCGCCTCCGCCTCCTCCTCGGCAAGAGCTTTGGCCTCCTTCTCACGCTGGAGGAGTCGGCACATGTGGACAAACCTCGGATTCACCACAGGCCTGGTGGCTAACTGGGAGCTGTCGATTTCTGGGGGCCTAGCTAGCATCTGCGAACAGTGGACAAGGATCACCCAACTTCAAGCGAAGGTACACAGGAAAGCGGACAACCGCAGTGTTCATCTTGCCACCTGACTGCAGAAAGCAGACTTCCACCAAAGGCTATCCTTGTCATTCACATCTGCTACGCTCCAGCCACAGCGAAAGCAGCATGAACATGTGGGACTTCTTCTTCAAGCAGTATCGACTCTGCCATATGTCTGGGCACACGGCATTGCACCGCATCCACGCCACTCTCGGCTGCGGAGGCACGGGCAGCATTGAGCAGATTCATGAGACGCCTCAGAATTTCGTTCTGCCGCAGCGGCATCAACACCATCAGAACCCGAAACACAAACTTCCACTTTGACACAACGACTGCTAACGGTGCCACTGGCAAGAGTACTGCTTTCACATGAGACGGCTGCAATCACCGAATTGGAAATCTGGTGACTATCGGCTGAAGCTGGTGCTGGTTCTTCTCTTCTTGGTGCTGTCGCCAAAACAATCTCCAACCCCGACGACGACTGCTGCTACGCCCGCTGCTGCTACTACTACTACTACTACTACTAGTTACTACTCCTCCTCCTACTCCTCCTCCTCCTCCTACTACTACTACTACTACCACCACCACCACCACCACTACCACTCACCACCACCACCACCACTACTACTACTACTACTTCTTCTTCTGCTGCTGCTACTACTACTACTACTACCACCACTACCACTACCACTACCACTCACTACCACCACTACTACTACTACTTCTTCTTCTGCTGCTGCTACGACTACTACTACCACTACCACTACCATTCACTACCACCACTACTACGACGACTACTACTACTACTACTCCTCCTCCTCCTCCTGCTGCTGCTGCTGCTGCTGCTGCTACTACCTAAGCACACATGGGTCATGGAGCAAGTAAGATGCATTATCTTCAAAGCTA